TCTTACTTATAAATGCTAAAGTTTGAATTTTATATAATTGTTCTCGGTTACAAAATATTACTCCTTGTTTTTTTAAAAATTTTTTTAGAGATGTAAAACTATTTCAGCTCACAGGGCTGTACAAAAACACAGCAAACTGTAATGCAGCCCATAGACTGTAGCTTGCACTCCTGTTCTGAAGTGCTATAATAGATTAAGATAGTTGCCCAAAGATGCAAACAAAAAGTTCTCTGTGGCTCAGGACAGAGAGCTCTTCTAGTTGAAACTCAAGAAGGAGATGATATTTGAGCTGATTTGAGGGGGATAGGATTTTGTGTAGGATGGGCGATCCACATTGGAGCTGAGAGTGAATGAAACACAGTGAATGGTTATTCTGTGAAAGAGAACCTCGCCATCCCATGCAAATTGGGACATATGGTCATCCCCAGGAGGGGGAGTCTAGAGGTACCATGAGCAGAGAGTTTGAGTGTGCCCAAGGGCTGTATCAATGTGAAAAGTCCAAATTGGTTAAACACACTGAGAATAAACAGACTGGGATACAGCCAGAAAGGTAGCCTGGGGCTTGAATTAGGAATTTCTGAGCTTGCAGTTCTAAACATGGAAGCGAAGATATTTGGAAATTATTCAACAGGTAATGGAGAAGTCCTGCAATTTTAAAACAGCAAACTGACATCATCACGTACTAGTAATATCAGCATGCACTGAATTGGATCAGGCAGAAACTACTTGCAGAAGCCCAATTAAGAGACCTATGGCAATAGTCTGAAGAGTAGATTAAAAACCCTGAACTGAGTCCAGGCAACACGAATAGAAAGAAAGGGGTGGATGAAAGACACATCAGAGAAAAGGAGTCAAGAGAACTTGTCAATTGAATATAAAAGATAAGCTAAGAAAAGGGGAAAGTCAAAGGAAACTCCCAACACTTTAAGTCTGGGTGACTATAGGCATACAATATTTGGGGATTAGAGGTAGGAGGAAAGGGAAGTCTGCACATGCACATGGTAATTGGAATCTATTCTATTCCTTTAATTTGGAAAATAGATATAAGGTAGCAATAGTAGTTCCATAGCTTAACTTTGAAAACACTTTTATGCGAAACACAACTGAGTGAATGGAGTGGTTTCTGATAAATGGGGAGCAGCTTGTTTTGAAAAAGTAGGACTTTGATTTGAGGAGGGTGAGGAGAGAGTTGGGCAACTTTCTCTATAACTATTCTTTCTGTCTTCTTTCTACCCAGTGGGATGCAGCCCATTTTTAGCTTAGACAATGCTTCATAGTGTTTACTAAAGCAAAATGAATCCACCTGAGGAAAAGGTCCAGTTATGACAAGCCTCTAGCTAGAACACGATTCAGTTAATTTTTGTCCATGAGCTAAGATCACCCAGTTATCTCAATAGCTCTCAGAGAATTTTGAGAACTATCTCTGCACTAAAACCTTATTTTTTTCTTTAAAAAAAGAACTCATTTCCTATAGAATATTTAGAATTGTGACAGATGCTCTGAAATCAAAGGAAAGAAACAGTGATAAGGAACTGCTAAATCTCTAAACATTTGAATTGGAGTTTCTGCTAGCCTTGACTCACAAAACGGTGCCCCAAGCTTACATTTTTGATTTGTTCACATTCAATTTTCTGTAACTTTCTACACTAATTATTATTTAGAGAATATATCTGAGGAAAGGAGAGAAGCACAAACGTAATAGAGAAAAAAATAGCAGGTAATTATAATTACCTGAAAGTACACACACACACACACACACACACACACACACACACACACCCCTATTTAAAAAAACTTTTCTAAACAATAAAGTGAATCCTCAAGTTGCTACTGATACTGGGGAGATTTGAATTCTTTTTGTTTATAATTTTCAGTTTGTTCAATAACCTTCCGGTTAAGTAAGCACAAATTGACAGTCTGGCCATAGGGTCTGGTCTGCCATTTTTCTGAAGCAGTGTACCAGCAAAGGATTTTAATATACTGTTTTCCTGGCCCTGTAGAATAACTCAAACAGCTAAGGTGTGAATTACTGTGGAATTATTAAGGTGTCCACTGTGAAGACAGGACGGCTAGGGAATAGCTGTGTGGGCACAGGGTAGTTCCTGATGCTTAGTGCTTGGCACCAAAGAATAAAAATAAATTATATGGAAACTTATAGAACCAAACACTAACTGATGCTCATTCATTAGTGCAGTGGAAAGAGTGTAGGTTTTACTTTTAAAAACTGGTCACGGTGTGGCCTGCCTGTAATCCCTGCACTGTGGGAGGCTGAGGTGGGCGGATCATGAGGCCAGGAGTGCGAGCAGCTCACACATGGTGAAACCTCATCTCTACTAAAAATACAAAATTAGGCGGGTCATGGTGGCATATGCCTGTAGTTCAAGCTGTTGGGAGGCTGAGGCAGGAGAATCACGAACCAGGAGGCTGAGGCGTGCTTGAGATCGCACTACTGCACTCCAGCCTGGGCAATAGAGTGAGACTCTGTCTAACAAATGTGCAACAAACAAACAGAAACCTTCCATTTGGGATTCAGTTTCTGCTCTGTCCTGTGCTCTGTTCTCTTTGAAATTGCAAGCTATCTATGATCTTTCTAGATAACACTCTACTGTATTGACTATGTAGCATTATAAATACATAACTCCAAGTATAGTATGTAACATAAAGTCACGGTAAATACAATTATTCTCCCTTATTTGAAGTTCGCTTGAGGTTTTCAGTTATCCGAGGTCATCTGTGGCCATCCAGATACACAGAAAATATGAAAGAGGGAATTTAAACAGTCAATGTATTATTGGTATTACTAAATAATGCCCAAATGTCACTTATTCTGAGTTTTCACGATAAAACTCATGCCATCAAATCCTGTCCCACCCAGCATGTGAATCATCTCTTTGTCCAGCGGTATCCATCGCTTATCCAGCCACCTATCCCTGCTGCCCGCTTGCCACTGTTACATCTGTTTGTCAGATCGATCATCCTGGGCATCGAGGCTTGTATTCAAGTAACCTCGACTTTATTTCAATGGCTCCAAAGCACAGGAGTAGTGATGGCATATTGTTATATAAATTATTCTATTTTATTATTAGTTATTGTTAATTTTCTTCATTGCTGTGCTTAATTTTAAAGTAAACTTTTTTCTATAGGTCTGTATGTATAGGAAGAAACAGGAATATAGGGTTTGGGCCATCCACAGTTTCAGGCATCCACTGGGGTCTTGACATGTCTCTCATAACAAGGGAGACTACTTAAGTGTTATAGTCCATATTATTAGAAATCATACAAACATATACCCAGATATAAGGATGGGATGGCAGGCCACCTGATGGTGCCTTGATTACATCCTCTCTCCAGCTTCCTGCAAAGTTATGATTACACACCAGGCTGACAAATGCAAGATTTCTGAACAAAGGCCACTGGCGCTCTTTGTTTTTCTTTGCTTCTTAGCTGCATGCATTTTCATTGAAAGAGGCATAATGACCTGCTCTGACAGATTGAGAATCTGATATTGCGAGGGTGTGTAAGAATGCAGGTGAAACACATACCCTGCTCTACACTCCAAGCACGTTTTTTGTTTAACAACAGCAACTAAAAACAAAACTAGAGCACCTGCTTTCTTTCTTGAGTATTACTATCTTCTGACCTTAAATTCCCAATGAAAGTTAAAATTCCTTATGTTGAAATGATTTAAACAAATGATAGTTTGTTTCTGGTTTGCCCAGTTACTTAACTTTGATGAAAGACTGCTTCTATTCCATGTAAAGAATTATAGAAATGTGTAGTTGATTTTGTAGAGGTATTATTTAAAACTTGTAGAAAATTATAACCATATTCACATAACTCATAAGTGAAAAGAGTTGGTGTTGAGATCTAGATATTTGGCCTCTTGCCTTTAACAACCTCTTCAGACTTCCTGTATGCTAAACTCATGACACCCCCTATTGTTTCAAAATATTTTAGGAATCTTCAAGGTTATGTTTCTGAAAGCAATACAAGTATGACAGGCTTTATAAATGTGTGTTTGTTACTGTACAATTATTATTCATTACTTACCACTTCAAAAATATGTGGGGAATCTCAACCTGCCTGAAGTAAGATTAGGTATATCTGTATGCCCTCAAGATCAAGAACTTTTACCATGAAAATTCTCATGTGCAACTTTTAATCCTGTCAAATGAGCTGATCTTTTTCTTTACTAAAGGAGTCCTCATTAAGTTTCAAGTAAAGAATGACAGTATTGCTGCTCACTTTCAAGCCATACCTTTGACTTTCCAAGCCACTTATAAGCTAAACAAGATGTAATATTGCGGATAGAAAATACTTTAGTTGAAAACCTTGAGTATCCCTGCTGGATGCTGGCTTGACTTCTGACCTTTAGCAAATCACAGACTCCCTGTGAGTCAGATTTCCTCTAAACCTACATTGACAATATGTAGCTTACAGAAACAGCTAGAAAACTGATACTTTTGAGATGTTTTATTTTGAATGCTTTATATACATTGTTACTGGAATAGTTATAACTCAACTCCCTATAGAAAGTTAATGTAGTCAATCCTTTATCTAATAATAGTACCCCTATCATGTGTATGTAGGAAGAAAATGGAGAAGAGGAGGGATGGGAAATGGGTATTTTATACCATGTGTGAAGGAGGCATGAAGAGGAAAATCATAAAATCAAATAGCTTATATTACAATTTCAAATTAAAAAAGGCTATCTGATGTTGGCGTATTCTAATCTTTAAAAATATTTTACAAATAAATAAGAGAAAACAAATACTAAGAGTTCTGAGGGACATTGGTTAATCATGGAACTATATGACCCCTCCATGGCTGCTAACATCTTTGCAGAAATTCATCTGATCTACCTTTCAAAATTATTGAATAAATATGCAATTATGAAATAGCATATCACTATTACTATATTTTTCTCTCTTCATTTTGTGCAGTAAACAGGAAGTCATTTGGGACCTCTTTTAATTATTTCTTTCTTTTCTTGTCTTTAGGAGTTGTACAGATGTTCTGTGCTGTATGATCTTCCTACTGTGTATTGTTGGCTACATTGTTTTAGGACTTGTGGGTGAGTAAATACAGGTATAGAAAATATTTCACACTCGCTAATGGAATAACTAAGTCAGCGTCACATTTTAAACATTAATGATTGTCTTCCAAAAGCCTTACTATTATTGATTGTTGTCTTTCCTGGAGGAAATGTGCCTCACCAGGATTTATCAGGTAGCAGACAATAAAAAATGAATATAAAACAGTTGAGTCAAAGGCAAGCCCAAATTACTTAAGTAAATACAATTATAAAGATGAAAGAGAAAAGTTTATGGTTCCTTTTTAATCATTGTTACTTTTGAAATTCTAATAAGCAACCAATTATGTTCATGTTGCTGTTTGCAAAGAAGAACTAGGGCCTAGATCATTTTAGGTAATACTAATACATAAACTTTTCTTTTTATAAGCAAATTAAAAAGAAGGAACAATTATTAAGAATTTCACCAGATAATTCATTGATATACAAAAAGTTCTAATCTCTTTGCCCAAGAGACATCTAGCAAAGAGATACCTTGTTATTTATTGTTAAGTTAAAAATTTTACTATGAAAGTGAAAATAAGAGAAGTATGGAGATTCTTTATTTGAATTTTGTTTTGTTTTGTTTTGTTTTTTAGAGACACAGTCTCGCTGTGTCCCCAGGCTGGAGTGCAGTAGCACGATCTCGGCTCACTGCAACCTCCAACTCCCTGGTTCAAGTGATTCTCCTGTCTCAGCCTCCCGAGTAGCTGGGATTACAGGCATGCACTACCATGCCCAGCTCATTTTTGTATTTTTTTTTTTAGTAGAGACAGGTTTTCACCATGTTGGCCAGGATGGTCTTGATCTCCTGACCTCATGATCTGCCCGCCTTGGCCTCCCAAAGTGCTGGGATTACAGGCATGAGCCACCATGCCTGGCCTATTTGAATTTTTTTTAAACAACTACCAATGTTACTAGTATGAATATTTTCTGCAAAAAAAGGTTTCACAATTGTATATGAGTGGATCAAACTTTTTTTCCCCCAGAGACGTAGGTTCTGTCCCTTAAATTCTGACTTAGGAAACTTTAATATGTTATTATTGGGGTGAAAGTTGTGAAAGTCAGATATTAGCTAGTTCTAGTAATGAATGGCATTGGAGTCAATGTGGATGGAATATATTAGCAGAAAGAAAGTTATACCCTAACTGGGGAACAATGAAAAATATTTTTCCATGCTCTTCAGTTTTTTCTTCCAATAAGATAAATACTTTGAGAACACCAATTGAAAGTCATTTCCAAAAGATAATCTTGATATTGCCATGCAAAAGCTACACAGAATTGGAGAATTCAAAAAATTAAGACAGGAAAATAGGAAGGGAGAGAAAAATAAAGGAGCATAAGTCATAAAGTAAATATATTCTTCCAAGATCTTCAGAACATTCTTTCATTATTTCTTAAAGTGATTTAACTTCTAAACATTAATGAAATTGTAGTACAATATGTAATCTCTAGAGTAAATATTATAATAAAATAAATTTTCTTACACAAAATTTAGAATTTTGGTTTCTCTCACTTTGGGACACATCTTTCTTATCTATGTAATTTTTTTTTATTATTTATTTATTTATTTTTTATTTTTATTTTTTTTTACTTTTCATCATAGAATTGAAATTTGTTACATAAGTGAAAGATTTGGAATCAGGTACATCTACAGTTTCATCATTTTTTGAAGGTCTTGGGTTACTTACTCAACCTCAGTTTTCTTACCTGGAAAATATGGAAACATTACCCGCCTTTCAGGGCTGTTGTGAGGAGTAAATGAAATAATACCTAACTATACCAATAATGCTGCATAACAGTTCTGAGTAGTAGTTTGTTTGCTACCATTGTATAACTGAGTTGTCCTGAATTTTAATACATTTCTTTTCAATATAATTTACAATATTATTTCCATGGCAACCCATAATTTGGGCTATTAAAGTTTGACTGCACACAGGAACTTCACAAAGATCTCTTCCTGTGACAAGAATCTTTTCACTAGGAGACCTTATTCCTTCATCAAATAAGTCTCTCCTCTGTATCTCAAAGCCAGTCTAATGTAAGTCCACAGAAAAATGCTTTGTGTCCTTGTATAGAGTGGGAAAACCCACTGCCACTCTCCTGTAAACAAAACAGAGGAGTGTATGCCATTATTTTCTCTGGAGCAAGATAAGAAATTCGCCTTTCTTTTTCCCAGAACTCCAAATTCAGTTTGTAAATGTCTTAATTCACATAAGGAAATTGGCAGATAAATATTACTCAATAAAAAACTATGTTGAGTAGTAAATTAATTCAGTGATGTCTCCAGATTAATCCCAATGCCACTGATTAAAATGAGTGACTCATAAAATTCACTAAATATATATACTTTTTTTCATCCCTGAACTATAGCCTTACTGGCTTCGTTTCAAGATTAACTTAATTCTTTAATTATATCTAATGTTGGACTAAAAGAAGCACGAGGGGAAACTATGGCAGAGGTTACTAGAAGTGTGAAGGATTTTTTAACATGCAAGAATATATACCTTCATTTGAGCAAATATGATGCTAAGTCAGTTTCACTGATGTGTTATAGGTATTTTGGTGTCTTTTGCAACTGTGTTAGTGCCTTTGTAGACTTATCTATCATCCATGATCTTTCCATAAAGAAGTGTTTTCATGAAAGAGACATTTTTTTTTGTTTTGTTTTTACAAAATCTGCTGAGAGAAACTGTTATTTGCCCTTTATGTGGAATATGGCCAGCTAGGGTAATACTTCAATACAACAGAGATACTTAACATTTGATTGATGAACAGCAGAACCTGGTTCAAGTGGATGAAGTGGAGTCTGGGTAGAAGTAATCAAATCTTGAAAGATCCAACTAACCTTTATGATAATAACCCTCCTTTGTCCTACTTTGGTGATGATTACTATTCAATTATTGTACTAATTAGAAAAAATGAATATTTATTATGCAAATTATTCTTTGCTATACTTATTGCTGTCATTAAGTATACAATAATAGCACAGTTTTAACATTCAATAAATTTTTATGTCGAGGCGTGGTGGCCATGGCTCATACCTGTAACCCCAGCACTTCAGGAGGCCAAGACTGGCCAATAGCTTGAGCTCATGAGTTTGGGACCAGCCTGAGCAACATGGCGAATTCCTGTCCCTACAAGAAATACAAAAATTAGACAGGTGTTGTGGTGTGCTCCTGTAGTCTCAGCTACTTGGGAGGTTGAGGTGGGAGGATGGCTTGAGCCTGGAAGGCAGATGTTGCAGTGAGCTGAGATCACACCACTGCACTCCAGCCTGGGTGATAGAGCCAGACTTTGTCTCAAAAATAAATAAGTAAGTAAATAATTTTAATTTGTTTTCTTTTTAAATTGATTACTCTTTGGGTGATTTAGTTCATTATTGTATTTACTTAGGAAGTGCTTGAAGTTACGATCCAAAGTTTGTTTTGGTTTTGCTTTTTTTAACCTTTCCCAGGGGTAATTATCTCTAGTAGCTGAGAAAGTAAGAAGTTAACAAGAAAGTTAATGCAAACAAGACCAGAACTCTGTCACCCTGCTGTAAGAAACTCAAGCTCTGTGTAGCAGCTATGTGGAGGAGTCCGGGCCAACAGGCTCAGCTGGGCTCCCAGGGATAATTAGTGTCCACTATCAGCCCAGTTGGGTTTTCTGAAGCCCCAGTCAACAGCTGACTGTATGAGAGATCCCAAGGGAGAATTAAGCCCTTCCCAAAATTCCTGACACACCAAATCATGAGCAAAATAAAAATTTGTTATATTAAGACAGCAAGTTCGGGGTGCAACAATAGATAAGCAGAACAAAATTTGGTACCTGGAAGTGGGATGCTGGTTTAACAAAACCTACAATACAGGCTTGGTTTTGAGACCAGGTGGTGTTCAGAAATCCAGTGGGTTTTGTGCAGGCTGCCGGTGAGTTTGAAAGAAAATGAGAAAGACGTGATTGGAAGCAGCGGGGAAGGGCACCTCGCTATATAGTGGTGAAAAGTCTGGCATCACTGTTGCTGTGGTAATGAGGGATGTAGGAAATGTACCTAATGAATTCAATGATCTAGATAAAGAAATCATCCTTAGGAGAGTAGCTAACTCTGCTGAGCCTTGTCCACACTTGGACCTGACTTAGGTGATGAGATCTAGACCTTAAGCCCGAGCCTGATGAGGTAATTGGATGAAGTTTCTGGGGATTTTGAGAGAAGATAAGTGTGTTTACATTAGAAGGGAACACATTTTTTAAAAAAAGAAAAAAATACTGGGTAGAGGGTGGACTTACGGTATCCTTAATACATAGCTGCAAATTATTTGTCATTTTTCCCATTGAGAAGGAGGATCTGCAATCCTTTCCCCTTGAATACAGTCAGGCTTGTGATTGCTTCTTTAATAGAGAAATGAACCAAGCCAAAGCAGAGCAGTAAAGAGCTTTGACATACAGGTAATTTATAGATCAGTAGAAAGGATTAAAGGAATTGCATCATGGCTTGAGTGGAGACAGTGGATCTGAAAATACCAAGTAGAGAAAGAAAGAAATTTACATAATTACATAAGGCTAAATTCTCACATTCAGCCTTAATCCTTCATAGAAAAAGGTAGAGAATAAGCAAAATAGTTAATAATAAAGTAGTCAAAATTGACCTCATCATTTCTGATATTAAATTATATGTTTATTGTTTTGGGGCAATAATACAGTCATATCTATTTTTTCATTTATTACTTAAGGAAATCTAGCATATCACACTCTTTCCTGACCTAAACTTTCCCAAAACACCAAGGAGGTAGCAACCTGATTTCCAATCTCTAGGTGGAGAGACTTTGTAGTGTTCTGGAGATCTGACATTTTGGTTGTACCATTTAGTATCATTTCATAATCCATTGCTCATCTTAATCTTCCCACTACTGTAGTGGCTTCCCAATCCAAGACTACTGCTTTTTAAATATTTCAGCAATATTCAAACATTGGTTCCCAAAGCATGACAAGGGTCAGAATAGGTGCATTCAAACTGACTTCTTGCT